GCCTGTCGATATTCAATGTCTTCGCCATTTAGTTTTAATCCGTATATTAGTAAATCTATTGAATTTAATGGTAGAGACAATTCGGGATTTGTCACTGCAATAGAATGTTTAAAACTAAAATATTCACTTCCCGCACCCAGCATAGCCGAAAGCATTTCTTGTGCCAATTCGGCGGCTTCTAAGAGCCGATTGTGTCTGACGTACAAATGTAAAAGTTCTGAACAGTTGGACAATTTGTAATTGTTATGCAACCATTGTGGTATGAACGCTTGCAAACTTAATAGTTTGTTCACAACCGATTTGCGTATTTGGGTCGATGATTCGTCCTCATTATCTTCCACTAGTTTGCGTAGTAGAGACCAAGCCATATCTGAGGCTTTATTCCGATGTGGCAAGTCTGCCAAATCATTTTCTTGTAACCAATCCCAAGCATCTGTGGGATTCTCGTCCGCTGTACGCACACAAGCCGCAGCCAAACTATCAAATATTGGCAAAACACTAGTCGCAAATCCCTTGGCTAGCTTAAGGGCTGCGGTAAATAAACCACAACTTGCCAAAACCATTGATAATTCCTGAGGTCCGGCATTAAGGAATGAATGTATATCTTTGCGGTGCTCCGATAACTTTATTAGGGCTTCTGTATGTAACATTTCCATTTTTATGTGTTTGATTTCGAGGACTACTACTTGAGTTTTTGTTATTATTGTTTGATCGTCACTGCGCTTCTCATCATCGCCGTCTTCGTGCATTCCGTCTTTAGAAGTATTACTTACATCATATTCATCCCCTATAACTGGTTTAGCAATCCAACGATAACGTTCATCAATCAAATGTAAACAATTTAAACATACTAAAAGTGATGAGAAGCGTTTATTAAGCGATTCTAAGGAATCACCTTCTAGTTGGTAACGCATTGATTGTTCATACATAATAGCAGAGGCTAAAAGAATAATAAAGACGTTAGTTTATACAATCAAGATAATGTCTATTTTAACTTACCTTTCCTCATGTTGCCATTGTTGACGTGAAAGGCGTACAGAAAATCATAAATTTCATTTTTCTCCATCGATTGTGATCGCGCTCTTGACTCGACGATATTTTCAAATTCTTCGTGTAGGCCCACGTATGGGAAATGCATTAATAAGTCATATCGTTTGCGATTGAACAACGTAATCACCAATTGTCGCAAACAATCCTTACGACGCGATAATTCAGCATTGTAAATCAATGAGTGATATGCTTCCTCATAATGTTCAAGTTGAAGGTGATTATTGAACACGATCGATTGAAACATGGGCAACTGTGGATCATTTTTATCTAGCAATCCAATTGCCACCTGAGCCATTGATATAATATGATCCAAAGCGTTGTGCTGTTCGAATAGCTGTATAACTTTTAGATAGTATTGAGCTATGCACTGGTTCGTGACTTTTAATTGAAATTTATCGGTTTCAATGTCCGAAAGGTTTTCCACTAAAGAAGCGTAGGGAGTGTTTTTTAAAATTTTCTCAGCAAGAAATTGTTCTTTAACAACACCTTTAGCCGATTGCAAGAATAAGTCATAAGCTTTATGAGATTCCCCACTATCTAGTAATGTTACGGCCAAAATGAATTGCCTAGAGCATATATTCCATTCACACCAGCTGTTGAGAAGACGCACATAATCTGCTATTATAATATGTTGGCAAGTGCTAAAGAGCCATTCGCCAAATACGAAATTAAATGATACTGCCCAAATAAGTTGGCTGACTGTTGTTGATAAGGGCATTAGGGTATTTTGCCAACTAACGTTATCCAATTCTTTGAAATTATCTGCGTACAAAGCCAGAGCAGTATATAGTCCTTTGGCATTGAGGAATACTTGCAGCAAAGGCGCTGAGCTGCATTTACCACCATTCGAATAAATACGTCCAGAACCAGAGGTTAATTGCAAAAGATTAAGTCTTTGCATAGACGTCTCCATGGCTGCTGCTGTATTAATATTGACGGGAGTTTCAGATATCCATACCATGACATAGTAAGATTGTAAAAATATTAGTACGTCAGGCATAAACTGGGACCTCAAACATTCTAAAATATCGACCGGCAAAGAATGGGTATCGATTAAAATTTGTTGCAGCAGCAAAAGGTTTCGGCAAATGGCAAAACGTATCAAAGCATTCTGACGTACTGTTTCGGCTAATAAAGATAGGCCAACCTGACTACCAAAAAGAGCTCCCAAGGACATAAACGCTCTGGTAGTATGATTTAAGTTATTAAAATTTGTGTGCATGGTTTCGGGATTTCCATTATCCATGCGCAAAATATCAAGTAGCATTGACATTGCCGTACGTAAGTCCTTGATGGACTGCATTTTTTGCCTTATTGCTACCAAGAAATTAGAGGGTAAGAGTTCTTTTTCAGTGTCTCCTGCCAAGAGGTCTTCAGTTAGTTTTTCTATCACTATATTGGGCATCTCTAATTGATACAGTTTTCGATCAATGTCTATTTTAACATCTTCTGGTAGCCATTTCTCGATTTGGGCCAAAATTTCCACAAGGTTTACCAAATCTCTGCCTTCCCGTTCATTGTCGGGAAAATGTAAAGGAACTACAATGTCTACTTCAACATCCTCGCCAGCTAGCATTAAATGTTCAATAGTTTCGCATGGTCTGAGCAGGGAAAATGTATTCTTTTTCACTACACAGACTGCATCCAAGGGTTCCAAAATTAATAATCCACTGGGCTGAGAGGCCTTCATGTGATACTGCTCACAACATGAATAGAAACGTTCCCATAATCTTGTGGATATTTCTAAATAATCGTCATCGGAAACATCAAAGTCTTTAACCTCATTCTGAAGTTCATCCTCGATGGCTTGGCAAACATGTTCCTTCAATAAAGTCATAGTACAGTGTTTGCCCTCAAAACGTACATTTGATCGGCGGAACATCTGAATTAAGAAAATTATTAAAAGGACATTAGATCGGACATTTTGAGCTACTTACAAACAAAGCTTTTGCTATAACGCTGCGCTCAAATTTTCCGGGGTGAAAAATATATGAACAATAGGCTTCTCGAGGATCCATACCCTGTTCTATACCAAGACAATAACGATCTGGTGGTGGCTCCATAGCAGCTGAAACCCAATTGATACCCATGCCGCGCACAAGGGAAAAACTCGATATACTAAATTCACCCTCTGCATTACTCCACAGCGCCCAGATTCTTGAATCGCAAACATCAAAATCTGTTAAATCCAACTGAGGTGCAGAAATTATTTTACGTCGCTGTAAACTTAATCCACTACTATTTCCCGCATCAATTTGTAAATCAAGACACACAAACTCGGAGCCAGTTGAATGTGAGAGAAATGCACAAAAGCTTATGTCATTGATTTTGCGCAATGCATTACTTTGAGCTGCAAATTTTAATCACATTATTTAGTGATTTTTCAAGTATTTTAAAAATTATTTATCTTACGTCCTTGCATCCGTTGTTCGTTACCCTCACGTACGCAATTAATGGCACAAATTATTTGCATATTAATTGTGGACCAAACTCGCAAGTGATCATTACGGTAAAGAGCCAAAAGTAAAACTTGATTGTTGATACAAGTAAATACCAATGAATTAGCATGATCAGCATCGGATGTATCGGTTTTGCCACTATAATTAATAAAATAAACTTTAGATTGTTGTATTTCAAAAAAGTTAAATAGAACATAGCTACAAAGTCAAGAATATATGTATGTACTTACGTTAATGCTCCTTTTATATTAGAAAATAGTCTGGGCATAATGTGATGTTCTTTTAACTGATGTCCAATTGTATGTCCGGTAGCACAGTTCATGGTATACAGCATCAATTGATTTTGGCACGCCAAAGCAAAATAAGCCTCTTCTCCATTGGAAGATAGAAAACTAGCAGCAGCATGAGGTATGTGGCTATCTAAATTAAAAACAATAAAATAATAATTTTGAACTATTAAAATTTACTTTTTGCACTTACTTGCTGGACCTAAATTATCAATAACGTAAAAACTGTTCGGATCTCGGGCTGCTGCTGCATTAGCATCCTTAAATATAGAAAATGACTGCGAATCATTAAAATCCACAGTAGTGCTGTTGGCGCCGACATTTCCCCCATATAAACCCTCAGCCAGCGAGTCGGGATGAGGAAAACATATGCGATGTAAACTACAGACAGTGCAAACTAACAAAACAATATTTTTGCCTTGCTCAATTATGTTAACAGCTATGACCGGGGAATCGGTGAATTTGTAGCGCAAATTGTTTTGATATAGATTAAAATCTAAACTTATTTCAGACAGTTCCAAAATGTCCTGGTATATACGCCAGTAAATGTAGCGATTACGATTGTGATTCAAAGAAACATTTTTATAGCAATAACCACCGGCTTTTTCCGCAACTTTAATATCCTGCAAAGTACTGTGCGTTCCACCTGAAAGTAAACAGAGCAAACAGAATTGGCTACCAACGTTGTGAGAATTTTGTTTATATATCTACCAGTGTTCAATGTTATTTCATGCCATTCTTCTTGACAAGAATTTGTTGTAATTACTTCACGATAACTTAAACTTTCCATTGTTCCTGTTTCTGATAATGAATGTAATATTTTTTTATTTATTTACACAAATATTCTAAATAAAATTTAGCTAGACGCAAAAAAAAAACACAAGCGGCGGCAAATTTTTAAACATAACCTCAATTATAAATGTCAAAACAAAAACAACTCGGAAGTGTTCTGATAAAAATAAATTTGTGTTTCAAAAAACCGTTAAAAATTGTTAATTGCGTACGGAATATATTTTTGTACAAAAAATATTCAAGCATTTATTTATATTTAAAATTGAATTTTACTTTCTGTATTTAAAACGATAAAAATCTTTAATATATTTTATTTTTATAAACAATAAATTTTTGCGTTAACAACTACTTTATAGATTGTTGCTATAAAAACGTTCACAAAGACGTTGCCAATTTGATTTCGACTGTCAGATTGACAGAAGCGACTTTTTACCGCTCTGTCATTTAATATTTTCTATTTTTTCATCAGTATTTTGCAAATAAACAATTGAGAAAAGAATATCAGCGTACGAAAATTAAGTTTTTTATATTTATTTTCTAACTTTAATCATTCATAATAGTTTGCATTATTTTATTTAGTTTAGTTGTGATATTTGCAAAAAAGTGAGATAATAGTTTTAAAGTGTTGAAAAAATAATTTGCCACATCCAAACAATTTTCCAATATGGGAAAAATACAATTTTGCCGTATTTGCCGAACAGAAAAAAATCTAAAATATAAGACCAAAGAGTTAAGACAATTAAATAAAAAACAGTTACTTTTGGCCAATGCCACACAACAGGGCCAAGGAAATAATAGGGCTTCGAAAAAGGTAAGAATCACTGAAGCTTTAGTACGATAAAATCAAAACACATACCAATACACAAAATGTATATTGGATACACTTTCTTCATTAACAATGCTTTTCGTTGAGAATGTATGATAAATCCATGCCTAAAACGTTGTTCTTATACTTTTAATATTTTTCAAAAACAGCTTCTACTTACTACACCCACTTTGGGTAACATCTGCCATGTTTGTGATGAACGCATACAAATATTCCACCGCTTAGATGATGGTGGCCATGATAGTTGTAGCGATGTTGAAATCGAAGTAGTTGAAAACACAAATAAAGCACTGCCAATGCAATTTGTAGATGCTATACCAAATGGAGGTTTCGTTCAAAGGACGCAACGTCCAGACACGCCAGTTATTGTGGATGACGATGACATGCTATTCAACATATTTATGCAAAAGTTCAACCAGAAAACACAAATTCAACGACATCAAATGGCCGAGCTGCAACAGGCTGATGGCCCGTTTGTGAACCAATTTCATGCACCCTATACTCCACCACAGTCTTCTGCCGGTGGAAGTGAAGGGGATGAATCAAAAGTAATAGAAGTTTTAACATCACGTGAAAACACACCCGCCCCAATAGCGCAAGCTCTGCCACCACCCCCACTTACAAATTCTAACCTGATAGATTCACAGGGTCATCGTATTGTTGCCATCATAGAATTAGATGATGTTGATGAAAACGATCCAAAAAATAATGATGAAATCCATAGTGGTTTATTGACTCCTGCAGCAAGTTCTTCAAATGAATTGTCATTTACAGAAAGTATTGAGCACAGGTCTGGTACATTATCACCGATTAAGAATGCCAATTTTAAAAGTCCAAGTAAGAATGAAGGACGTCAATCTACAGCAGCAGCCGAAGAAGATGACGATGAAATCGTGTTCCGTAAAGTTGATATAGAACAAGACAAATCTCCAGCAATGAAAAAAAGAAAACGTAAAAGTTACGACGAAAAAGAATTGCGTTTGGTAGCTAGTTTAAGTTTAGTTTCTAGTGACTCAGAAGCAGAAGATAGTCCCATGAAAGTACAGATTAAAAAATCGTTCAATCCCCCTGCAATTGCTGAAACGCCCCCATTCGTTTCACAGGATACTCATATTTGTAAAGTTTGTAAAATAAAATTTCCGGACTCTGAAAGCCTCTCCGTTCACGAACGCATTCACCAAGGGGTGAAGTGTACATTGTGTCAAGTTGGCTTTCAACAAGTCAAACGTCTAATTCATCACATGCGTCGCAAACACCGTGAATATAATGGTGACACTTTGTCAGAAAAACCCCGCTCTGGTCAAGATAGTTGTATGACCATTAGATTACGTTATATGCAACGTACAACATTTTATGAATGTCAGCTGTGTGGTCGCATTGATGAAATATTTAGAGAACACAAAGAGCATATAATAGAGAAACATGCTAACGAATCTAAAACTCTCAAAGACCCCATTATGAAACAACTCAAGTGTCCACTATGTAAAGCCAAGTGTGGTGCACAATATTTATCGCTATGTCGTCATCTCATAAGTTCACATGAATATCAGCAGTACAAAAGTCATTTAAGAGAATTGGTACATGTAAGTGCGTTCGGCTGGAATGCAGCACGGCAGCAAGAGGTGGCTAAAACAGCAAAAATCTTTCAATTTACTAAGAGGAAAACTTTCTTTTTTGAATGTAAAATATGCCGCAAAGTAGTTGCTGGCTATTTGCATCACTTAAGGCATGTTAACAAACATCAAGCATCCTCCAACGAACAGACCAAAGTTAAAGCAGTTACCCCCAATGAAATTCCTCCTTCATCGTCAACGACTTTAGTAACCAAAAGCAGTTTGGATATTGGGGAAACTCAGAACAAAGATAAACTTTCTGTATCAAAAAAACAGAATCAATTAGATAATAAATCAAAAAAACTAGGAAATAAATCTAAACTTAATAAAAAATCAATACAAATTGAGAAAGTACATGAAAAAAGTAAGAAAATACTAAAATCTAACGAAAGTACCGAACAAAAGCTCAAACTGAAAATTAGTCAAAAAGAAAAACTGAATAAACCTCTTAAGATAGACAAATCTAAAAAGACAGCTTTGATGACAAAAATTAATAAAACTGAGACAGTTACAAATGAGTCCAGAAAGAAAATACAAATAAAAATTAAATTGAAACCAAAGGATAAGGAAACGAAAGAAATACCAAGTGGAGAAAAATTAAACAAAAGAAAAGCCAAGAAAGATTCGAGCAAAATTAAGACAAAAGACAATGAAAAACTCAGAGGAAAATCAAAAGTAAAAGCGAAAGATCTAGATCAGAAACCTCAGGTAAAAAAGGTAAAGGTTAAACCACCCATACGACAGATTGATCTGCAAAAATATAAATGTAGCTACTGTTTAAAAAAATTCAAAGGTTTTCGTTTGTATAATTTACATCTTTTACAACAACACAAAGAGAACGAGTATACCGAATGTAATACTTGTAATAAACTATACACAAATTCCTCTCTCACAACTGATCATATCAAACAATGTCCACAAACATTTCCCGCATCCAAACAAAAACGTAAATTCTCTGATAATAAACCTTCATTATCAGACAATTTAATCGATAATGGCTGTCAACTAAATGCAAACAAAGTGCCTAAGAAATGTGATGAAAGTTTAATCAATTTGGAAGATAACAATCTATGGCTGAAAGACCTACTAAAGATAAAAGAATCATCAAGAATTAGTGATAGCAATTCAACTTATAATGAATCTACCGATACTGCCTTATACATACCTAAACAATCAAATTTACAATGTTGTTATTGTTTGCATCTACTTCCCAATGGCAAAGCCTTAGAAGAACACACAAAACAACAACATTCACATAAATCTGATATTCTTATTAAATATAAACCTTTTAAAAATATAAGTAAATAATTAATGCATATGTACATACATAAATAATTAAATAACACTGCGGAATCCAGCAACATATTACATTCTTTCAAAAATTCTATTTAATTTAAAATTATAGAATAAAATTTAAATTTCACTAAAATATAAAGATTTTAAAATTTCTGTATTTAGTTGACATAGAAAAATAACAGTGTTTATAAAATTTACAATACTAAAACAACGTTTATCTGACAGAGTATTCGAATATAAATTTAAAATATGTACATATGTATGTATATTAGAGTGTCCCCCGCGAGTCAAGAATATCTAATTTTGGACATAAAGTTACAGTTACATTTAAAAAATTAAAAAAGACTTTACTATACACTCTAATGTACATGAAAATGCATTTCAAAATTAAATCTTTCTACACATGTATGTACAATACATTTATTTACTTGTTATGTAAAGATAAAAAATTATAGGATTTACATATTAAAATAATAGTACCTAATACTTTCTTTTTTATGTATGTGCATTATTTGCAAATATATTTCAAAATATCCAATACATACATATACATATATCATAATCTTAATATAAAAAAGACGTATCTAACTTTTGTTTATCAAAAAAAGGTATTCTTCATTTTCCGTGGAATTCCCTATATATTTTTAAATTTGTCAAATAATAACTTTAATAAATATGTATTAATTTTTCCATCTTAACCTTAGGTTTAAAAAAACATGTTCACCTTACTAAAAAAATTAAATACGTCTTTATTATATTAAGGTGAAGATATAATTTTTCATAAACTCATAAAAATTATTTAAGGTATTTTCAGACTACAATACTGAGTATTAACACACTTCAAATTAAAAATATTATGAAAATAATTCGCATTTTCAAAAAATCAATCCGAAAAATACATTTTATGTTTACACTATAATATTTGTAATATTTTTTATCCAATTTTCAATTATTTATGCACTTTTCGTTCTTATTTTTAATGTATTTTACAATTTTTGTTTGTTTTTTATTGTATTTATAAAATACATACCGAATACGTTTGAAAATAAAAAGTTTTTGAATTGTTTTAAAAAATTTATGAATACCGACCGTATGCCAAAAAAATCAGTAATATTTTTGAAAATCAAATTACAAATTATATTTAGACTAGTAAATTGTATTATGATACAAACATTTTTGACAAGTATTAATACTCAGTATTGTAGTCTAAAAATACCTTTATGATTAAAAGGAAATACTATTAGCATTAAATTATATCCTCTAAATGTTTTGGAAATTCTATATTTTTAACTGCCTGATTTTGTATTCCAAACGTAAAAACAGCTTAGAAAATTGTTATGGAAGAATTATGTAAAGGATAAGAAAATTGTTTTAGATAGCAAAATAAAATTAATATATTTACACACTTATTATAAATTGTTAATGATATTAATATGAAATGTTTATAGTACGTATAAAAGAAATATGTACTTCTCATTAATTTTACTTCAAATATATTCTTTTTTCAATAACTTAAAAAAGTTTTGTTTCTAAAAAGCATATTAACTAATTTTAAGCAATTACATAGTTTTATTTTTGAACAATTACCATAATCCGAAATACTTTAAAATGTACTTTAATATGTTCTTAAAGCTTGAAAGTAATTTACCAACAAAATCTTCATTAAAATTTGATAGTTATAACATACTATGGTTCATTTTATTTTAGTTTTTTTAATAGTCCATATCGTTCCCAAGGCTTTATACTTTTTAAAAAACGATTAAAAAACTTTCTGTATATCTGAACTGGAAAAGATTTAAAAATTTTTTATTATTATTACATAATGTTCTCTCTGCTTTTGTTCTTAAAACTTTCTGATACAAGTTACGAAAATTGTAAATGGGAACAGATTTCAAAAGTTATGAAATGAACCAAAGGTTTATTTTATTTTTTTTATGTTGTTTACACATACAATGCATATCTATGTATATTTAATTTTATTATGAAGTGAATTTTGATCAGTATGTCTTTCTTATTTTAAGTTGTCATCATTAATGCACATAAGTGTAAAATATTGTAATGTTTTTTTATTAATGTTTTATGGACTGAAATTAATTTTATTTAATAAATTTCGAACAAATTGAATAATTTATTATTTCAAATTCTATGTTTATGTCCGGTTTGTTTGCTAATAAAATATTTTATATTTAAAACCTTTATTTTTAAAATACTTATGGTATTGCGTTCAAAGTCTTTTTTTATGGAAAATTTTAAAAGCGTAAGTAAACAATAGCTTTACAGCAAATAAATTTTAATATTTTTCTTAATCTCATTGAGCACAGCAAATGCAAATTAAAAATGGGACATTTTATTTAGATTTTTTTTTTGAATTCTCACGGCGGTAAATTCTGATGCGTTCGAAAAGCATCACAGAAATTATGATGCGCAAAAAAACGTAAAACATGCATCATAAAAATGGCGAGAAATGATTAGCTACTTAGAGTTTTTCAACGACAATAAAACTGCTTAAAATGATAATCAGTTCAGCATCAGATGCAATGATGCATTTCCGAACAGGTCCAGTTTCTTTAAATGCCTTTAAAGATCGACTGAAAATATAAATGCATTATGCATGCAGCGGAGATGATTTTTAATAATTCATAATAGTTTTTATTTACTGAAACAATGCTTATTCTAAAACTAAATTTATGATAGATAAAAAAACTTAAATATACTTTTTAAAAATCTTCCATCATCATGGCATCGGCAATAAATTTCTTATAAATATTCATAAACTGTGCCACAAAAGCTTCCAAATGGAAAATATGTTTCGCACCATTTTGCATACGGTGTTCATATAATGCGGCGTATTCAAGAGTCTTAGCTTTAATTGACATATCACAATTTCGTACCAGTTCTTTAACCAAGCCTTGGAAAATAACATCGGGAGGTACACCTTGAGCTAGCAATTCATATAAACGATCTCGAACTTTTTCTAATTTCGCTGGAGACTGTTCAGTTAATATTTGACTGGCAGTCTCGCGTAAAAATACTTGCCAATCAAGTTCGACAATATCCTGTTGGGCTGTGAAGGGATATTGTTGCACCTTACATGCCTCCAACATTAAAATAGCTCTACGTAAATTGCGCTCAGATTTTTCTATTATGCGTTCGGCTAATTGTGAAGGCAAAGCTATGTTTTCCCGCTTACTTATGGCTTGGAGTACAGAACACATTTCCGCGGGGCTAGGAGCTGCCACTCGTATACCCAAACAACGTGAACGTATAGCCGGTATAACTCTTGACGTTGAATTTACTGATAATATAATGCGACAAGTGGCTACATATTTCTCCATGGTACGACGCAAGGCATGTTGAGCATCTTTAGTCAATTCATCCACTTCTGATAAAACAATCACCTTGAAGTCTCTTTGGCCGTTGGGATCGATTTGATGAGTTTGAGCTACTTGTTTAATTAGATCTATAACAACTACCCGATCATACATGCCAGCATCTGAGGGATTTACTTCCAAGTGGTAATTACTGCTAACAGTCATCACTTCAATCTTACGATTTGATGGTGTGGTAAAAGTCATCGTCTCATTGCGAAGTCTCTCTACACCCGGGCCATAAAGCTCTCGCAGTAAGCACATAATACGTGTCTTCTTACCAGCTCCAGATGGTCCGTAAAACATTAGATGTGGAAAATCTCCCTGCTGGCTGAGGTTTCTCAAATTTTCAGCTTGTTCCTTGATATCGAGTAAACAAATTAAAAAAATGTGCTAAACTATTAATTTATTTACAAACCTTGTGATAATCTAATTTAACTAATTCCCGAGGACGATGTTTGTCTACCCATAAAGCCATTTTTGCAAAATTATATTTTGTTAATTAATAAATCAGTAAGAAATAAACACACACCGGGCGTCCGAATTTAAAAGTTCAACAAAAAGATTTTACAAATGCCGCACAAACAGGACTGCCAGATTTGCAGATTTTTTACACCAAAAATTTGTCTATTTTAGTTTCAAGAATACCAATTTCTTACTTAAATTAAAAAACATAGTATTTTTTAATTGAATTAATTTTTTGCAACTCTAAGTTATTTTATTATAAAAGCTAAAATTCGAAAAACCACTTGCAGCTTTTGAACGAAATCTTGAAGTGTTTAAATAAAAAAATTAAAATACACGAAATTTATCTGGCAGCACTACAAACAATTATCTTAAAAAAAGCCCGCCAAAACAGAAACATAAAGTGGTGTGTAACGTACAAGCCAATTTTTTCTTTGATGTTTTCAAACCCCTAGAAGAAATGAATGGGTCATTTTAATTTTTTGGTCTCAGACTACCACGTCAGTTCCAGAGGGTTAAGATCATTCGAAAGTTGGTAGTATTTTTACTTTTTGAAAGCAATTCGCAAACTTATTCTTAGTAATAAAACAAAGAGGAAAAAAATCACCCATCTCTGCACACTGGCGTGCCTAACTCATAGCATGGGCCGTCGAATAAGCCGGCTTTACTTTGCCATGTAAAAACTTATGCAATTAACCGCCTTCGGCATATTCCATAACCATATATACATTTGATTTGCGGCTATGCCATACAAAGCGATTATATTGGGATGATTTACCCTTGACAGCTGCTTTACTTCTGTTTCAATGGCTTTTTGTTCGGAGGTAGGTTCAAATTCCTTAACGGCGACATAACGATCACGCCAAGGGTGTCTGCCGGGAAAGTATACTACTTTTTTTGTTTATAATTTTTAATTAAGTGAAAGAGAATGGATATTATATTGATATATTTATGTTTTATTTATTAATTATGGAATTATTTATGGAATACAATATCATATACATAAATGTCCGCCTCTGTCAGCCTAAAAAATGCGAGCCTTTTAAGCAAATTTTTCATTACATTCTCACACATTTCACGCGGTAATTCATTAATTTCTTCACGACTATTTCGATTGAGTTGCTAAAATGTTTAAGTTGATAAAATGTTTAAGGTTATCGGTTGGTTTATCGAATATTTTTCCATAATAAAAAATCTACTTCACGACTGCCAAATATGAATTGTCAAGATTAATGTTTACCAAAATGGCTGCAAATCAAATCGGCGGACACCCTGTATTATTGATGGGCGGAGCTAAACTGACAGCACCCTCTTCGGTAGCTGGTGTAGACGTTTCATTATTGATTGGAGGGGATGTACTAGCGGAATTTGTGGTCGTATCTTGTAAATCCCCCAACTCATCGGTCATGATGTTTCACTGACTAGCCGAGGAGTGAAGTGTCGTCACCAGTTTATAGTCCCGGAAAACTAGAGGTACTGGTAGCACCTCTTTACCCCGGGATTGCAGTACACCTTGATGGGACATTTCATCATGGAAACATGTCAAAGTGAGTGCAAAACAATGAACTTGCAGTATTTTTCTCGGCAATTTTTATGAAAAACAATAAACTTTCTGTATTTTTCGCGGCAATTTATCCCGCCGCTGGCCGGTATGATCCCGTGTAATCCTTATGGTATGATAACCTTAGGATGTCTATACGCCTTCATAACTTCATAGACGGCATACAAAAATTAGGGCGAAAAGTCGACTTCTCAACTTTTTTCATTTAGTTAAAAGTCGACTTTTCGACTTTTTGCATTTTATGAAAAGTCGATTTTTCGACTCTTTTCCACTTATCGACTTTTCGTCTTTCAGACAAATGCATAGCATCTCTTTGACATTTAAATGTCAAAAACAATTGTTTTGCTTTTACTGTCTATTGTGATTGTTTTTAGTAAAAAAAAAAACAAATAATATTTTGTCAACACACGTTTCATTTAGATAAAAATTAATATTTTTTACAAGAAATGACTGCTAATAGTTCTGAGAAAAAAGTAAAGCATTCAAATTTAATATGTTTACCGGGGCAACGTCTTTGTTTGTCCGATGAAAACACAATAGCTGGCCAGGGTACATATGAACGCATGGGATACATTTATGCTACACTTGCCGGAACTGTTGATATACGGGAACAAAATAATGTAAGTACTACAAACCATATAAACAATACAAATTATTTAAAGGGAAAAAGTAGTGCAAATTCATAGAGGTTCAATGTGCTGGAAGTCAAACAATAGTACCAGTAGCTGGAGATGTTGTAACTGCACGTGTTCTGCAAGTAAATCAACGTTTTGCTAAATGTTCCATACTCAGTATAGGTGAACATGTGTTGGAACAAAACTATCGTGCAATGCTGCGTAAAGAGGATGTGCGATCTACCGAAAAAGATCGTATAGAAATGTATAAATCTTTTCGTCCTGGAGATATCATATTGGCCAAAGTAGTAAGTCAGCAAAATTTATAGTTCAATTCATAATAATTTTAAATATGGACTCTTTTTTCTAGTTACCCCAAACCGAATTGTCTTGCTACCAATTGAGTACGGCAGAAAATGAGTTGGGAGTAGTGGTGGCTATAGCCAGTGAATGTGGTCCACAAAGTGCGCCTATGGTGCCAGTAAGTTGGACAGAAATGCAATGCCCTAATACTTTAGTTAAAGAACCTCGTAAAGTTGCAAAAATTGTTCCGGCTAGCGCTCTGAAAACTGAAAAATCCTGAATATTTCATAAAATTTTATGAATAAAATTATCTTTGTAATGTAACAAACTGATTTAAATCGTTCATTTGCTAATATATACAAAAATTTAGCTATGGTTTTTGCTCATCTTAAAAAAAAAACACATCATTTTTTACAATTTTATTAAAAACATAAAAATGTAATGTATTTTTCATGGACCTTACATATGTATACTACTTTATGACTAAATATTAACTATATGTATGTATGTATATTTCAAATTTACATCATAACCTTTAGCAATGCATATTCGGTAACAAATGTATCCACCAATTCCGGATTTAATGTATTTTTGGCTCTTTCGTAAATAATAGACATCAGCTTTAAATTTCCCACATCGCGCTCAAACTTTAATAGATCAATCCACACTTCTACATTAGACGCACCAAAATAATGAACAGCATTTTCACAACACTTACGAATTCTGCTAACATCACCTTTGGACTGTAATTAAAACGATATAAGTATTTTAAAATCACATACAAAATTTTTTAGCGAACTTACGTGTGTACCAGCTTGAAATTCAATTTCGGCCATTTTCTTGTGCAACTCCAAGCAAGGAGGTGGAAATTGACACAATTCATCGTATAGATCACGAGCTTTCTTTAATGACTCATAAGTCATTGTGTATTCTAAATAATAAGCTCTGAACTGGCCAAATTCTGGATGTATTTGTTTGGCAGCTTCTTTAAGGATTTCACTTAATTTTTTGGGATTTTCTTCATGGTATGCTTTGTAGAATTTCAAGGCTAGTAACCAAACTGAAACGCATTTGGCAGTACCCAAATCCTTGTTAGCTTTGCAAAAGATTTCATAGAATTTTGCCTCATCTTGAGTTTCGGCATATGCGCGCATCCACAATTCATATAATTTTTCATTCTTGTGTGTTTCGGTAGCCTCACTAAGCAATTGTTCAACATGTTTTATGCCATTAGGTGATTTCAAAAGCATTTCAACACAGGCTTGATAGTGTTCCACACCCATAAGTCTCGACTTGTGGCCCATATTGAAGGATTTCGCCAAACAGTGACGTTTTAGTTCACCATCCATACGAACATCTTGATTTAGGTCTAACATGGCATTAATAAAATAGGACCACATTTCTTCAGTTGGTACTGCATCTACAGCCTTTTCGTAAACTCGGAAACACAATTCAATGCGTGTTTTTAGGCTTCTCACCTTCCATACTTCACCCTTGATTGTGGGGTCTTTCTCATCTTCTAAATTTGTTTGCATATCCTGTATTTCGGCTACTTTTTTGGAGGTGATCTCTTGTAAATCAATCATATTATAACCTTTTAACTCGCGTTGAGCCAAATAATCCCACACTATGGCTTGAGCAGAGAAATATTTTAAAATATCATCAATTATCTCCTTTTGTAACAGAACAGTACAGTTTACAAACTTGGGATCTTCGCATCTCTCCAATAGCTTGAGGTAGTAGGAAACGTTGGTTATTTTTGCTCTGTTGTTACGATACAACAACACTGCTCTATCCAAAGCCAGTTGACGTTCTGCTACATTGAGCTTATCGACATTAGAAATTCTATCAGTTTCTTTAATCAATATATCGAAAAACGTTAGATTAATCACTTCTGAAGTGGGATGTCTCTTAAGGGCGCGAAAGAATATTTCCTTGACATTCTTCAGTAATTGTGTTGATTCATAAGCCCACAAGGCATAATCGCACCATATTGCGTCTTTGTCGCCATGGTACTTAAAAAATGATATCATTAAAATAAATCTTTATGTAGGCATTTCCAACGAGCAAACTTACCGACAACATTTTTTCATATATACCAGCCACTTGTCCCGGATTAGATTTCTGACTAAATTGAATGAAACTTTTCCATAGCCGTTCATCGTCTGGGAATTGTTGTGTGCCATTGCGATATAATCTTATAATGCGTTGAATTATAGACTTTTTGACACTGGTCAAGTTGCAACGATTCTGTTTCTCCTTCTCCGTTATCCATTTATGTGTATTCTTTTCAAATTGTATATATTCGATGTAATTGATGGGTGTCTTTTTGCTTTGAATCACTTTAGTCTCGAAACGTTCACGGTCCTTTAGCAATTTATGGAGCTCCTCATCGGAGCATATGCCATTAGTTTTAATGGCTTCGTACTCTGATAAATCACGTTCTTGTATTTCTTTGAGAATTTCCGCCATCCTTTAATTTATATTTAAACTAAACTATTAAAAACTTTCATATATTTTTTTTCCAAATATTTACTAAAATTTGTGTTTTTATGTCTGTCAGATTAACACGTTGTATCTAAAAATGAATTCACATTGATTCACAGTAGTTTATTTACTTTAATCTGAGTCGATAATAGTGTTTACGCAACTTTTATAATGTGGCAACATTATGTGTCTTAATAAAACAGCTGTGTTTGACATTTTATTGTGGTGATGTGTAAAAAATTTTTTAAGTAAATTTTCCAAAAGATTTCTATTTCTGGTGTTTGTTATTTTTTAAAAGATCAAAAATTTGCATATTTCTCAAGAACAACAAAGCAAGTGTTACAAGATCTATTTTATAATTTGTTTAAAGTGTGAATATAATGAGTGATTCCCAAAAACAGCAGCGTCCCGGCGCTACTCCCATTAAAAATCCACTGTTAAGTGCTTCGGTTACAGGTTTAACATTCGATGATTTCCCCAATAAACCTTTGTTACTCCCGGCAGCACCTCCTATTGTACATGCAACGGTTCCAGCTCCAGTCGTTACTCCCACTGGTTTAATTAGAGGTAAGTTTGTGATACATAATTGGAAACAAAGATTGCATGTATGTTTGTAGATGTGTTTTAGTAGATTTTGTATATTATTATATACATATGTATGTATTTATGTACGGATGTATGTATAGCTAGCTATGTTTTTGCCAGAGGAAGGTAATAGTTTTTTGACAGTTTGTTGTTGTTATTATGTTTTTGTATTTTGTACAACCTGTTGATTATTTTGATGTTACTTTTAGTTTTTATTGTTGTCGATGTTATCAATAGTTCCCTTTGAATATTTAAACATTTTTATCAGAATAACATTGCCAGTAATTGGAATACAAGGCTGACAACCATTGTGGAATTTTAGGGTTATTAGTAGGAATCGAGAAAATAGGTTTCTTTATTTTCAAATTAATTAGTTTCTGTATAAAATTTTTGTATATTTAGAATAAAATCCCTATTTTTCACTTAAAAACATTAAACTCCATGTCATTGAAAAAAATACCTTTAAATAGAAGTCAAAATTTTATTATTTTCATGAATATTTTGGCAACTCTAACGAATTAAGAAAAATAAACATATTTTAAAAATGCAGCAATTTAAAGTAAATGATTTCTAGTTATTACTACGTATGTATGGCAGTTGCAATAATTTTTTCCAAGTTATGAATAAATCAGTGCTATTATTTAGTTCGGTTTGAAAAGAAAAACGATCTCTATTTCAAATCAATAGTTTTCTGAAGCATGTTTTTATTCCATACTTCTAGTAGAATGTGATCTATACGTTGGAAGATCCAATACTATCTTACGACGGCGACAACACCATACTATGGCAGCTATTAACAATATAATAAGTAATATGAGTAAAATAGCGCCTAATGCAATGGCAGCTATTGATGCTTCGGTCAACACCAAATCTCTAACATCGACAGTATGGGAACGTTGATTGCCAGCAACATCAAAGGCTACTAACGAAACTTTTGGCTCACAACAAGAAGCCACATAAGTAGCTTTCAAAGGTTCAGTAGAGCCTATAGTATAGGATTTTGTGTAAATTAAACCAGATGAAGGTGTAGCTTGTAAACGCAATATGCCAGTTTGCCAATCCTGAGCGGTAATGTACATACTCCAAAATCTTTCCGAACATGAATCTAATTCACTGGAAATACCTTCACAACGACTGCCAAACAACCAAGAGATAGAGGGTAACGTGTTGTCCTGAACATTAAAGAAAAACACATGTTAACAATTCCTATTTTTTAATTATATTATTTCCAAAGAAGTCTACCTGTGCATCTATGGTTGTTATAACTTTAAGATTGAGCGTCAGGGACGTTGTAGTACGAACAGATGTAGTTGAAAATGTTATATGATCTATGGTGTTTCCTTGCGCATTTTGTGGTACTAAAACTGTTACTGTAACTGTAATCATTTGACCAGGACGTAAAAAAAAGCTACAAGATTTATTATATAATAACATTATGACATTTTTAATTGATTTGTTATTTAATTACCTTTGTGGCGTTAATCTCATTAAATAACGTCTTTCGTCTACTACTTGTATATTGTAGTACGCAGCTTCATAGCCTGTATTTGTGACTTCAAAATATAACTGACCCAGCATACCGGGTGCGATAAGGATTTGGGATTGTGTACCCATTTCAATTCTTGTGTTTGTTCTTTGTAAAATATTAGTGTTTCTTTGTTGAGGCTCCGCAGTTGTTGCCGCCAGAGACGAAATGTTATTCTCTTGACTATTGATTGTATTCAGATGAATTTCATGTGTCGAAAATGTTTCTACTTCACTTTTGGGTATAGATTTTTCATCGGTCGGAAATTGTAATTTAGAATGTGTTAGGACTTCTGGTGCCACACTTTGCTGCAATTCACCAATATGTGCACGAGCCGGATATGAGGTGTGGCCTTCAAAGAAATACGTTTCAAAGTGTTTAATCATATCATCTGCAAAAGAATAGGAAAATTAAACATTTAAATGCATGCATTATACATATAAGTTACATTTTATTTAGTAATCTACTTTTCTACAAAAACTACAATTCGGTTGGTATGTACATAGTTGAAATACCCATATGTGTTGAAAAAATGACTTCCTTAAGCCAACTAATGCAGTCGTAGACTCAAATTAATTATTTAAATGACGTAGATGTTTTATTATTATTGAAACAAACATTTGTTCAAGGGTGAATAAAGTTATCTCCCATTCGTAAATACGACAGCATCAAAAGTATTCTTATCATATCAATATTATTTATATTATGGTATTATTATTTTTTTAAAGGAAATACGAGTCGTGTTTCATTAAGCCAATCAGTTTAGCTATGATTTTTGACGAGTAAACAATTTAAAATAGAACACTTACCTAGAAATGTGTCAGCTTTACGTTCGCCTCTAATGAAAACACTGTATTCCGTTGTTAAATCTTCTGGTATCATTTTTAATTTGTAAACAGTGGCTTTGCGCAATTTTGTTAAAGGCACATAAGCATCTAAGCGCTTATCGTCGTCATCGAATGTGCTTAATGAGTGTGTTTTAAATTTAACTAATTTCTTCAAATTAATTTCTAAAATCAAAAATTAAGAAAATAAATTAAAATTAACGGGTTTTTAGCTATAATAACAGCGCTGTGAATACATATTTTTTGTTTATTGTGAATACATTAGTCACCCCTTGATTTTCTAACATCATTGTGAATGATTGTTGTGTTTATTTTGTTTACAACAAAAACACCAATATTAAATGTTAATTAATACCAACAAATAATAAGCAAAAAATAAAACGTCAAATATAATCTAAATAACAATAAAAACAAGAATCTCATTTGTTGTTGTTCTTCTTCCTCTTTAAAAATATTAGCAAAATAGAAAAAGAAGAAAAAGTGACGATGTGACTAGATATAAACTAAAAAATATTATATTGTTCAACCACGTATTGTATAAAAATAAAATAAAAATATTGTGATTTCTTATATTTTAAAACAATTGGGCAATTCAATTATAGATTAAAAACAGTATAAATTGCCCAAATAGAATCTTTTGTGAAACAATTGTTAAATCGATTTCAACGTGTGTGTTTTCCAAAAGAAAAAATTATTTGTTAATTTTCTCGTTAATAATTCACGGTCTATATATTTATTTGTTTTTCTCCAAATAAGGTAATTATTTAATATTTCACAAATTTTCACATTTACCAAAGTGTTTTAATTTAGTATAGCTAATACTTGTCAAAGGATATTTTTGCAATTTTTCATCATTTGTTTTGGTAATACAGAAGGTATGAGTAACATTTATTTATTATTCGATGTTGCCATAGGTTGCGTATGATTGCCAGGTCAATTTCTCTATATAAATATTAAGTATGTATTAAAGTTGTGTAGGGTGAGATTCGTATAGGTATTTTTAATACTAATGACTTGTTGATTTGACATTATTGAGAGAGAATTGTTGTCAAGTTTATTTCTTAAAAGAAAGTGATGTCATTTGACAAATTACAAAGTTAGAAAGTAAATAAATCTGAGAATATTAAATAATTTAGTAAAATTAGAAACTATTCAAGATTTGCATTCTTAAAAAAATCGGTGCAATCAATAACAAATTTTAACAAAATATCTGTGAAAAAATTAAAAAGTATGTACATATGGGGAATTTTGGGTCAAGAGACAGAACTATTAAAATCGATGTCTTCCGATTTGGATGCAAGGGGCATATGTGAAAAAAGTAATATTTTAACTCAAAAACTTTGCTTTTAGATTTAAAAATTAAAAAAAAAATAATTTTTTTTGGAAAGAATGAAGAAATAGCTATCTGAACTTCTTTGGACATTTTTTGCTAGGACCAAGAGGAGAAAAGTTACACTCATTTGAATAAAACCCTGTATGACCAAAATGTACAACTTTGATCCCCTCTAAGTCCCGCAGTTCTTGATCAATAGAGCTGAAAATTAGTGTCTGACTTACTATCCAATAATACTAACCTTTGTGCAAATTTCGTCGAAATAGGTATGTATCTCAAGATATGCAGAACAGAACTTTTTTAAATATCGACATTTTTAAATATGCTTTACTAAAGTTTTGTACCGGATGAATTAGACGATTATGTGTATTAAAAACATTCATCAAACACATTGTTTATATGTATAATATTTTTGATTTCATTAAAATTATCGATCTATATATTATTTAGGTTCATAAATGTGTGTCTTTCCTATTCACAAAATCAAATCAAAATATTTTCTAAAAAATCTTCAAAGGTCAGACTATTGTTGACAAAATTCTTAGACAATGAAGATTCCGGTATTGTTTATATATTTTAATTGCCCTATATTCTTATCTCGGCAATGGATTCACTACGCTGTATTATTGGGGTACTGTAAATTTTGCTACTAGTTAATTGTATATTTATGAAAGATCCATAAAATTTCTTATCATACATTTTAATTCATAATTAAATTGTTTGTACACGAATTCTTTATGCAATTAGTCATTTAAAGTCTAGAGCTTATGTTGCATTTTAAATCAAGTGATTTTTTTTAATCGCTGAACTTTGATCATGTATTTTGACAACGTGGCCTATGATCACGTCATTTCAATTGATAATTAAATTTGTTAATCACCAAAGAAAAACAAGTAAGAAATTATAGTCGGGCGAGGCCGACCATATAATACCCTACACCTGTTACAAAAATAAAATGTGATTTAGTTTTCATAATGAAGCATTTAGGTTGAATTGTACCTTGTCTCAGATATACTTAAGCCATTTATTGTGGAATAAAATTGTGGACATTTAAGTCAAATTTTAAAGGGGGCTTTTGTAGGGGCTAGGGTCAAATGAGGACCTATAATTATAAAATTCATGAGGGTTATTAAGGCTAGTATAGAACTTGGTTTTACAGCTTTTTATCGAGATAGGAGTATATTAAACATAATTAAGAACTTAAAAAGCCTATTCGGCGGGTTCAGTTGTATGGGGGCTAGGTGAAATAATGGACCGATGTTAACCATTTTCAATAGGCTTCGTTCTGGGACAACAGAAGATCATGTACCAAATTTCATTGAACTATCTTCAAAACTGCGACCTGTACTTTGATTACATGGACGGACAGACGGACGGACGGACGGACATAGCTAAATCGACTCAGAAAATGATTCTAAGCCGATTGGTATACTTTGGGTATAGAACCAATATTATTGTGCGTTACAAACATCAGCACAAACCCAATATACCCTTCCCACTAAAGTGGTGTAGGGTATAAATATATGTATTATTAAATTACGCTTTAAACTCTGAAATCAATTTTGCAATATTTACAGTAAAAACTGAAAAAAAAATTTGAAAAATACTTACTTATTAATTATTTTGATTAAGGTGCAAATATCTAGATTGACAATGTGCTGAGAAAAGTTATTATTGTTTTTTTTTTTTGTAATAAAGGACGGACACAAGAACAGTTACAAATAACGTTTTTAAAAAGACAATGGACAATTAAACTTAAATTAAAATTTGTTTATTTTATTTTAACAGTTTTACAAATTTAAAAATAATGTTATTTTATAACTTATAAACTAAACATTGATGTGTGATTATTAAATAAATTTGTTTTTATGTTTATAATATTTATGTTTGTACTACAAATACACTAGACTTAAAAGTTTTAAATGCTAAACATTTTATGAATATAAAAATAATAAAAAAACATAAAAAACTATATGTAGGCATGTATATATTTACAAGTTTTGTTTGTAAGTAATAATTAACAATATTTGTTAAGTAATCGCTAAAAAAATATTATTCCAAACTGAAAACAAATATTGTTTATATTACTTTAGAACTAAAAAATACTATATAAAACATAAAATAAACATAAATTACATTAGAAAAGAAAATATTAATTAACTGACCCAAAAAAAATTAAATATTTTATGGTATAGTTTTCTTTTTTTTTATTTAAACACAAACATTATTATATAAACTTTCACACTAATTTAAAATGATAAATATTTGAAAAACATGTAATTAAATGTTATTATTTTTTACAAAAATGCAAACAGAATCGCTTCAAATAAGATGTAGAAATTTGCATTATCAGACAAAAGTTTTGTACAAAACTGAAATGTTTTAAAGCAAATAACTTTTGTTAAAATTATTTTAATGTGAAGGCTCATTAGAATATTCTAATATGTGTATAAATAATTAATTTTATATTTTTTTTAAAGGGTATTTACATTATATGTAATATAAGTTGCAATAACTTCAATTTTCGTTCATAAGTCAATTATAAGACTCACGTTAATCAATATATGATATATTTGCATACATATATGTATGTAATGTAAATCCCCTTTAAAGTTTAGGTTTAAATATATATTAAAATTCTTGGACAGCACTTAAAAATTTGTTTAGTTAGTTTTTTTTGTTATATAAAGATTTAAAGCTTAAGAAAGTTTGTTAACCCCTAATAAAATTAAAGGTGTTTTTTAGTTTTATTTTTAACCCCTTGTTAGTAAAAGTTTGTTTGCTTGTTTCTTAAGGAAATACACAAATTGTGCTTTAACAATTATTAGTAATAAATCAATTTAATTTTTATAACTAACCGCCATTGGGCGTTTCCAATACTGCTCTTCGCATCAGTTTATCAATTTTTACATGTAAACTAGATAATGTGGTATCCACCGGTACGTCGACTTCCTGGGAACCTCTTAAAGCGTCGGCTACTATTGTATGCTATAAGAAATGAAACAAATAAATAAATAAAACAAAAGTAATTAGTTTAAGAATTTTCATAAAAAGCTAAGGATTATATATTTAAGTGCTTTTTGTTGAATATATGTATGTATATCCAACAACTGCCTTATAATTTGTTAAACATTTGTATAGATTTCTATATTTGGTATACATTTTATGACAAACCGTAACGTTGCCAATTTACATTCAACATTACTTGAATAAAAGTGTTATTACACTTTAAAAAAGTGTGCAAATGTACATAATCCACAAAGATTGTATGTACATTTGTTTAATTTATGTATAATTTGATATGATTTACTTTCATATAAATTTCAAATTACACAGTTTCTTAAATGTACTATTTTTTCTCGACGTTTTGTAACCTGTAGTTTCAAAACATATTGTTGTCTTTTGTTTTAATTTTTATGCGTACTTTTTGAGAGAGCGATGAAAAAAAAAAAAAACTATAATCATAATGATAATAATAAAAAAATAGTTTATAAATATGTATAATATACATCAGTACATACAATGGAGTTTTTATACGTTTGTATATATGTACGTTCACTTTGTTAAGACAAGTTTTCGTATCTGTATCTGTATCATGTAGTTGTTTGAATGCATAATAAATAAATTTGTTTTTACTTTCAAATCGATATTAAATTACCGTATAAAATATTTCACAAATATACACTTACCGTTCTACCAGCCAATTCTTGGGAATTCTCCTCACCCACTATATGTAAAATTTCTCCACCTGATCGTGTGGCTACCTCTCCTAAAATGCCACCAATTGAGTTTTGTGTTTCATTTTCACAATCACACTTTGTAGTGTTTCCAAACCAAATAAGATAAAGCTGAAAGTAAATAATTTTGAAAGTAAGAATTTTACACAATTTGATTGGTTGAGAGGTTTCAAAACTGTTGTTGGATATTGTAAAATTAAAGTACAAACCCTTATTCTTTTTTTGAGCAATGTTATGGCCGAATTTTGCACTTGATGATTGTTACTGGCCATATGAGCCGTTGATATAAATATCGCACTGTCATAGGGTACCAATGACGCTGCATATGATATTCCCCTAAAGGCATCACCGTTATATTGCGCTTTTATGCTATTTAAACCGGTTAAAAATTGTCGAGTATTATTGAAATAAAATGCAGCTGGTAATTCCTCTGGATCAGAGAGAATGAAAGAGAAAAACATAAAAAAATTTAAGAGCATTTCACTTACAGAGTGTAAAATTATATAGTTGTTGTTTTCAATTAAAAACAAATTTGCTAATTGCAATAATAATAACATTTTATAAATTCTCTTTAAAATATACCTACAATGTATAATGCTGCTCTTTTGGTAAATAATAAAATAAAGTGACCAGATATGTTGTATAGTATATCTATTATTACTGATACTTGTTGTACTGATTATTCATATTTTTTGTTGTAAATGTTTTTATTTTGACTTAAACTGGACCTATTCTCGATGTCTGTCGGCCTGTCAGTTGAAAGCCCCATCGCGGTATGAACATTTTCTAAATTATTCTCTATCAATAAAGAAATTGACATAGTCAAATACCATGATCTGACTTGTTGAATTTAAATTATTTATGTCTTATTCATAACAATTTATTAAAGCTTTATAGAACAAGACCCTTAAGACCCTTAATGTTTATTTTAATTATTTCAATCTGTTTACAGTGTATGCTATAAAAATGTCTTTTAAATCAAGAGAAAATTTAAGATATACCTCAATCTGGTCACTCAATAAAAAATTTATATATCAAAATAAAACTTGAACACTTACCGGATTTATTTAATGTTACCATTACAATTTTAACGTTGAAATCTGAACGCATGGCATCATTCCATAGTGCTTTCGTTTTCGCCAATGCTTCTGCAGATGTATCAACGATGACCGCAAGTGGCATGCGAATGTAAGCATCTTCAACGTAGTTACGTAATTGTTCATATGGCAAAAGGCGACGTCTACTACTTGTAGTTGCAGTCGTTGTTACAACTGGTACTGTGTTGATAATAGGTATTTGTTTGGCTTTCTTATCATTTACAACTGGACCGACTGCCACTGCATTTGAGGTTATGCCCAATACTGTTTGGGTTTGGGATTGAGGTGGCGGTGGTAGCGGCGCTGTAGTTGTAAATAATGATAAGTCAAATTGTCCCATGGGATTATTATTATCATCTAAGCCTATTGTTTGAGGGTTTGGTGTGGGCGCTGTAATGCTGATCATGTCATTGGGTGTAGTGGGGCCAGCAAATAAAGTACGTAATAAAATATTGTCTGCTGTTGTCGATTCTGTTTCATGAAATTCCTCTTCGTAATAGTCTTCTGAACTGACATGTTCTACATGACGGGATGAGGAAGCATTTTCAGGTGGTATTTCATCATAGTATTTCATAGCCAAAGGCACTATTTCGTCATTTTCCTCACTTGAATTATCTAGATTATGGTTTATGGGTATTTTTGTTGTAGGTTTTCTTTGCATATGATCTACAATGTCATCTTCATCTTCCACATAATCAGAATTGGAAATATTAGTATCTCTGGCGGTTAAAGTTGGGTTTTCATTACCAATTTTGCGTATATATTCGGGTACTGTAGTTGTAGTAAAAAGTCTACCCATTCTGATCTTTTTACTTATTGGATTTTCAGTTTCATATTCCTCTTCCTTGGACAATATTTTCGAATTTTGTTCGGTACTCTCTATAGAAGTATTATCTTCCGTTTCAACTTCTTTTGGCATGTTAACATCATGTTGAACTTCATTTTCTATGGAAATATATTCGTTGGAGAGTTGGTTATCTGATATATTGCGTACATTCTTTAAAGTAACTTCTGTTTTCGAATCCATATCTACATCCATGTGATTTAATGCCTCAGTTTTTCTTTCGATCTCATCAACATGCTGTTGCAACAGGGCGGGTTCGTAAATTTCTTCATTTTCATTAGTTTGAACATTCTCTGCCTGAACATTGCTTCCCTCATCTTCATATTGGGGATATGCTGTTACTGTAGTTAAAATACTCCCAAGTAGCATTGATATTAGCAATAGATTATGTTTTAAAATCATGTTAACTTTTCTAATTTGTGTATTTTTTGTATTTAAGGTTTCTAAAGTTTTCAGCTAATTTTCGTTGGTATATGCAAAATGATTTATTCTCACTTTATCATCCTTTACTCTTCACTTGTGTTTATCAACTGCAAGAAAAATTTGTGAGACATATTAATAAAAACTCTCTTTGGCTTGGAATACATTTGCAATGCTATGTTAATACCTGCATAAATATAATACAAATTTACTTTTACCTTTTTTAAACTACCTACTACATTTTTAAATAGAAAAACATACATACTCTCACTATGTTTATTAGATTTTAATCACCACTTTAAAATCTTTCCAATTTCTTTTCAAGTTTAGCATTCGTATACATTTTCCATATTTAGGTCATTAAAACCCTCTCTCCTCTGATTAATAAATTTCAATATTTTTCATTAATCCTATGTTTTTTTTACTTTCAGGTAAATAAATGAATATTTTCTTATCCATATACATACATAAGTACTGAGGGACATTTATTGTAGTGTTTATTGTCATAAATAACCTATTCATATGCCAAATTGCACAAAGTAAGTCTTAGGATATTTGCATATTATTCAAATTTCATACATTTGTATAAACATTATGGGTAATTTCATAAGATAAAAGTTATTTCAGGATTAAAGTTTATACATTTTGAAGCAATTGGAATTTATTTTTGTTAATAACCAATGTTTGAAAATTAGACTTTTTTAAGTTAGCACTTTTTGAATATAGTATCTGGATATACAATATTCATCATAGTTTTCTTATTGATCAAATGTACTTAATCTATGCTTAATGTTTGTCATTTAAACATAGATAACAATCATAATTTTGTTTTGAGTTTTATTTGTTATCGATTTCATGTATACAGTAACTAAAGGCAAAAAATTATATTGATTGATCATTAAACAAATTGTTTGGGTAATAAAAAGGGGTATTCGCGACATATAGCAAACACTTGGCCATATCAATTTTTAAAATATTTTGTCTATTCTTTAAATGTTAAAAATTTAACTAAAATGCAATTTTCAAAATTGATTTCATTTGACATTGTTAAATCTAAGTTATAACGAATACTATTAATAATTTTGTCTTGAGTCTAATGTGTTTTATTTATTTTTTTAAGTTTTGTTTTGATACAACATTAATCACAGCAATTACAAATGCTGCAAACATTAGTTGGTTACTTGACATAATTTTTGACAGCAGCAAATAATAATCAGTAATAGATGTGTGTATGTTTTGTATCTATCATTAAACTCTTAATTCAAAATGATTTCTTTGTTAATATTCATAAACATACATATTTTGTAAGAGCACATTTTGGAATTGACAATTGCATAAGAATAAATATTGTTTAGCAAATTGTCAAATAAATTAATATTTTTTTGTTGTGCTTTAAAAGCAATTAATCATTTAATAATTGCTGTACCGAGCAAAAAAAAAATACATATTATTCTTAAATACTATTAAAAAGTCATTAAAAAATTTTTTTGTATTTTTCTGTGTCATTATAGTGTTAAACAAATAATAATAAAAAAATATTATTATATAGTCACCTTTGAAGTGTGTGACGTTTAGATTTTATGATGACAAACATCTTTAATTTAAAATGAACAAGAAGAAACTTAAAAAAACGTATTTTCTTAATATAAACAAAATTAAAATTTTATCTTGTGTTGATCAATTTTTTAACCCATCTGTTGAGGCTACACAAAAACATACATTTAATAGTTTTTATACCTTTTTCTAAATTTATTTGTTTTTTTTTTTTTCATATGTTAGTCTTCTCCGATTATATTTCAATCGGCATCAGTTTGAACAAATTTTGTGCATAAATTAAAAAAAACTTAAATTTATTCAAATTTAAATAAAAATAACACATATAGAATTGAATGGTCAAGGTTATTTGAGTTATCGTTATAAAATGGTTAATTTATATATGAAATCAAATAATTAATTATCAAGTATCAAGAACTGACTTTTTGCATTTACTGCATTCAATTTATTTAAAAATAAATTTAATTAGCAAAAAAATAAAAAAAATCAAGATTTATTAAGATTGTTTTTTTAAATTTTCAATATCAAACTGAGGAATCTCAAAGCATAAATAAGCCAGGAAATTTTTATTTGTAAACAAAGTTATATAAACTTGTTCAAAGGATAATTTTATAAGTATTGCAAGAGGAACTACCAGTTTATGTCTTAAGCTTTCGAAGTAATCAAAAGTCATACCAATATCGCCTCAAACGCGGTATCTTATTTGAATAACACAAAAAATAAATTATAATGCATATTTTATTAACACTATCATTTTATTTTTTAATTTTTTGTTTATAGGAGAATTCTATAAAAAACCTGTTTTGCGAATGATTTTAAATGATTTTTAATTAAATTATTATGTATTTGTATCTACAATCTCTACAGGTTGTTGTCTTAAGTCTTTTGTTTTCTACTATATTTGTATATTTTATTGAGAATAATCATTAAAATCCATAGACGTCACAAAATTTAGAATTTTAAATTTTTAGTAAATTAGTATATAGTTAATCTTTTGTATAAATATATTTTTTGGTATAAATCACAAATATAGACAAAATTTAAAATTTTTACAAAATATTCTACCAACTATTATTTATTAATAATCTATGAGCGCAGAAAGAAAGTATTTTACCTGAAGGTAAATTAATGAGATACGGATTTTGTTTTATTATTTTTTTTTTATTTTGTAAGGTCGTTTACCACACTACTTTTACTAAATTTCAAAACTTTGTTTTTAAACTTAAGGCTGACAATTTCCTCATATTATTTTCCAGTCATATTGAGTTTTCAAGTTTATTTCCACTATTCAATAAATCAACTAAAACCCAATTAATAATGACATATTTGCGTAAAAAATAGGCGCCATAACAGAATTTTACATATTTAAACAATTTCATTTAAAATTTATTCTTTGCTAGAATCTTTTAAAAACAAGTTTTGTTTTGTCATTAAATATTAAAGTTTCTATTAAATGAATATTTAAAAACTGTAGTTATAAACATAAAAAAATAAATAAAAAGCCTATAAATTATGAATTTTAATTAGTAGATTTTAAATCAACAACTCAACGAAGTGTTAATAAAAAATAATAATAATAATATTTGTATAACAACAAATATTCAATGTCATTAGGGACATTAAATAGGTTTTAGTTAAAAAAAAAATACACGACAACAACAATAATAGTAAAAAAATAATAAATTTGCTTTCGCAATTGATTTTTTATTTGAATTTCTGAGCTACTAAAACAACCGCATCATTTTAATTAACACACTAATGTTGTAAATTTGAGAAAAATATTGTTTGTTTAAAAAATTGAAATAAAAAATATATATTCGAAATGATAAATATTCATAACAGTAACAAATTTATAACTAATTTTATTATAATAAAGAAGAAGATATACTCATGCATATTTATATTCTTAAAAGTTTTTGCAAATGTTTTTTTGAGATGAGATTTTCTAAAAAGTGTTTGCTTTATAGACCGGGTAGGTACAGGGAATATTTCAGGGAAAGCTTTAACGCCTTAGGCTGATGTCAGAGTGGGAGCTAGAAGCAATGCGAAGCTTTGCGCTACAAACTTTTGCTTGTGTTTTCTCGCATCAAGCTTCGTTTTCACTCTGACATGACACATAGGAAAACACAAGGAAAGGTTTGTAGCGCAAAGCCTCTCATCGCTTGTAGCGCCCACTCTGACATCATCCTTAATTTATACTGTTTATAGCTTAACATGCTTTCAAGATATAGACGGGCAAAGCAAGAACGCTTTAACATCAGCCGAATAAAAATCTTTACCCGATAGTTGTGAAAAGTCTCCCAGTACATAAGTCTGACCATCCATCACAAGTGTATAATATGACTTATTTTTTTTTGCTTCTTAGTTATTTACCTAATCGTTTTGGAATTTACGGAACTTTATACGACTTCAACCCATCATTAGCTTTGGCTCTGTTCACAAAAGAATCCGAGCATTAAACTTTATGAGCTAATTTCTTATTTACTTATTGTGACTCATTAATATCTGCTAGACTTTTTTTGCTACCCGATCCAAGTTTGCTTTCAATGCTAAAGTCTTCTTTTACTGCTTAATGGTTTTTGAAATAGCGTGATAATAAACATTTAGATCTTCTGCGATTTTTATGAAAGACCACGAGTTATTTTTATATTTGAAAAGTTTTAATTATTTTTTCACGTACTTTTTCTCGGAGTTCATTTTGACCGAAAAACCAGTTGAAATTGAATGATTTAGAATATATAATATCTATCATATGTACGTTTTAAAGCTAACGTGATCCAAAAAAAAAGTATAATTTGTTGGACCTGGGATAAGTTTTAGCTAGAAAAGTGTGTATAAGTTTTTTCTGACCTAGTCCTTAGTTATGTTTGTTAATGCGTAGGTTTCTATTTAAATACCAAAAACATTTTTCAAGTTTCAGCATTATTGCAATTGGCAAGCAAAATTGTTTCAAAAATAATTGAGAAAAATGAGTCCCAACAAATTGGAAAAAATCAAAATCATGTTATTAATTATTTCAGAAATGTAATTTGAATGTCTAAAAAATAACAATGATTTAACAAATTTAGTTGATTTTCAAAACTAAAAACAAATAATAAAATACTAAATTGCTTTTTCTAAAGTAAATAATTCGCCCTTAAAATAAAACCTTCCTTTAATACATTTCATCACATATAAGTTCACATGCTAAACCTTTTCAATTAATCAAAAAAAAAAAAAAAAAAAAAAAAAAAAAAACAACCAAACTATAGGTAATCAATTATCTTCTCAAAACAAATCAACAAATTTGTAAAAATTATACAAATTACAAAAGATTTACACACAGACAATCAAACACTAAAATACCAGCATTTATAAACAACAACAATATAAAACATATACAAAAATATATGTAAAACCAACAATACATAAATATTATGTTTATTAAAAAACAAGCAAAAATAAAAAAAAAACAAATAAAAGAAACATACCATAAATACTGGAAAAGATTAAGAATTATTCACAACAAAATACCAATAAACAAGATTTATCTATGACACCTGATCAAGCCAATTTG